AAGGGGCTGGCGTACCCGAGCCCCATGCTCCCAGCACCAGTCCCTGTCACTCCCAACAGACTGAGGAAGAGACCTGCCAGGCTCACGGCTTCTTGGAGGCTCCTGAGCCTCCCTCTGGAGCTTTCTTGGCTGAAAGAGCCTTCTCCTCCTTCATCTTCTTCAGCTTGACCTTGCTTTTGCCGGCAGACGAGAAGGTGAGTGAGGCCTTGCTGAACTCCAGGGGGAAGACGCCCACATCCCCATCGAAGCGGTTCTTGGACACCTGCAGGTAGCGCTTCCCTGGCCCTGTCACCAGCTTACGGTCCTGCAGGATGAGGACGTTGTCAGCCTCCTGGCTAGCCTGAGGGAAGAAAAAGATCTCCAGGAGGGTGCTGGGGATGCAGCTGGACTCACAGGGCTCAGGGGCTGCCTCCCTGGCTTGTTCGAATCCCGTTACAGGGCATCCCAGGCCACAGCAACTCCAGCACCTCCCTGACACCAACCTCTTGTCTTCCCCCCGTGACGTCCCAGTGACCCATCAGGCAGACAGGCTTGAGCTCAAGCCACACCGTGCTCTGGGGAAACGAGGGAGCAGAGGGCCATACACGCTCACAAAGCACTACCAGCCCACCACTGCAGGGTCGTTCAGCATCACAGCAGAGACTGGAGCACTCGGAGAGCCCATCCCTGCACCCTCCCTGGCTCCTTCTTTAATTATCTCTTACTACATCCCACTCACAGTCAATGAGCATTAATTAACTGCACTTAAAGTCCCAACAGAGCTTTAGCTGGCAAGGGTTTGCTCCCTGTCTGCATCTCCCAACCAAGGCCCAGCCAAATCAGCACTCCACACATCTTCAGTGGGTGACAGAAAGTCCTGGGGACATCCTGCCCCTCACCGCACCCTTCAGATCCCCAGCGATGACTCAGGGTGCTCGTGGGACTGGGGACAGCTGTCTGATGTGTCCTGGCCCCTTCCTGGGAACACAGTGTGCCCAAGGGACAGGAAGGGCCACCCCAGCCCAGCTCACCTTAGCAGAGCCGAAGATGGAGGCTGTCTGCAGCTCCTTCTCGTCGTCCTCCTTGCGGGGATGGATGACCAGTGTGATGTGGCAGGTGTTATCTGTGGCGAACTTGCGGAAGGCACCAACGATGTAGTCCTGGGCAGCAAGCCTGCCATGGCAGCAAGAACAGGGTCAGCGGCTAGCACTGCTCGGTGTGGAGGGGCAGCAAGGCACTGCCAGGTTCAGCCCCACAGCAGGAGGTATCCAGGGGTCTGGGCTCGCTCTCTGTGAAGCAGCTGGGCTCACACAGGCAAAGGGATGGGGCACAACAGGCATCACAGGCAACTGGCTCACCCTTTCCCACCTTTTCCTCCCCAGGGCAGTGATTGCCCTTCAACAAAACAGGGCTGCCATGCCAAAGCTGGGAGGAAGGGACACCAAGTGTAGGTCCCCAGCCCCTGCTGTGATACCTGACAGGGCCAGCTCTGGCAACGAAGGTGGTGGGGGAAGGAGAGGACGGCTTGAAGAAGGGCTACCTGTCCACAGAGAGGTGCTCGTGTCCCATCATGAACTGAAGGTTGTCGACAACCACGTGGGTGATGTCATACATGTAGACGGCGTGCTGCATGGTGTCAATCACCGTCCTGGGCAGGAGAAGACCAGGATCAGCCAGGACCAGCCACAGGGATGAGCAGAGGCGAGGATGGGGATGCTAAGCCAGGCACGGGGACAGGGAGAGGCAGAGTGGGAGGCACCAGGCTGGTGCCAATGGCAGCTGACTGCTGACCACCAGGCCCTGGGCAAGTCCCACCCCCACATCTCCATCCCAGGATGGGGCAGCCCCATCCCCACAGGTAAGGGCAGCTGGACCAGGAAGACCCAACTGCTGCCCTCACAGCCCCTGCCCACTGTCCTGTGATCCCCCCAGCCCGTGGTGATGCTCAGGTCCTCCCTCCTCAGCAACCAGCAACACTACCAGGTGAGCAGGGTGTGGGGGGACATATCCTGCCAGAGACAGAGGCTGGTTTTGGAGTGGCCACCTAGCACAGGGACAGGTCCTCTCCCTTCATCCCCACCCCAGAGGGAGGCTGTAACAGTCCTCACAACAGCAGGGATGCAGCCAGTTGAGCCACACAGTCCCCATGTGCTAATTCAGGGACTTGACCATCCCCAACGTGCCTCCTACTAGCCCCAAATCCAAAACCCACTGCAGAAGAGCCCCAGATCCCCACAGCACACGCCACCAGCGTAAAAGCCACTGAGGACAAAGGTGTGGGACCATACTTGATGTTCTGTTGGCCATGGAAGGTCATGAAGTAGAGCGGGAGGTCCTCGAAGCGGTCGGCCCACTCGTCATACAGCTCCAGCTGGTCCTCCAGGCGCTGGGCAGCAAACTGTGTCAGCATGATCTTGGCCAGGCGGACGTTGTTGATCTCAAAGCTGCCCCACAGTGTGCACACCCCTTGCGTGCACAGGTCCAGGGCATACTCACTGATAAAGGTTGTCTTCCCGCTGCCTGTTGGGCCTGGCACAAGGACAACAATGGGATGAATTAGCTGGGGCAGAAGATCTGACCTGTCCTGAATGCACCAGGGGGTTGTTTAGAGGTGGAAGCACCAGGGAGTGGACTAAGAGCAGCCCATTTACAGGACTCCCACCATAAACATGCACCGTCTCACATGAGGCTGCGTGTCCGGGCACTCGCGTGTCACCTCCAGCAGCCAGTGGGTCCCTGGGGGCTGCAGGGAAGGGCTGTGCAGCTGACAGAGGGCTCAGACAGGAGGCAGTGGATTGGAGCAGGGGGAAGGGACACCCCAGGAGTCCTGTGCCACCCCAGGCAGGGAGCCCATCACCACACCAGTGTGCCTGGCCCCACCGCACCTGGGAACGCACTCCAGCCTCTCATGCACTCCCACAACAGGCTCAGCCGAAGCCATGAGCAGAAAGGGACCAGGGAGACTCATGAGAAGTCACCCTTAGGAGTGTGAAACCACCAAAGAGCCCTCTGCTTCCCCCCATCCACCAGCCATTTGCCCATCACCTGTGAAGATGGTGAGCTCCCCTCTGCGGTGCCCTTTGAGGAGCTTGTTGAGCTCGGGGAAGCGCGCCCACTTGACGCCGGCCACTTGCTCAGTGTTGACCAGCTCCCCGAACACCTCCTCACGCAGCTGCCGGAAGGAGACGATAGATTTGTGGCTGGCAGGCAAGGCAGCACGCAGGATCTTGGTGAGGTTCAGGCCCTGGTTCAGAGCCTCCAAGGGCCGGGGTTGGAGGTCGCCAGGGCGCACGAGGGAGCAGCGCTTGAGGCTCAGCTTGCGGGCGAAGAGCTTGGCAGCTTCCCAGGAGCGCAGGTCCTCACCCAGCCACAGCGTGATGCGCTTGAACTGCTCTAGGTAGGGGAGGAGGGCAGGGGGCAGGCAGGTGGTCCCTCGTGGCAGGGCCAAGCTGGCCACCCCCGTAGCTTGGTGCAAGGCTAGGGCGTCCAGCTCCCACCCGGTTAAGACCAGCTCTGTGTCTCGGCGGCTGATCAGGGGCAGCCCAAAGAGATTGTGATAGGAATCGAAACGGGGTAAAGTCTCTTCCACATAAGCTATCGCATCCCCTTTTTTCTCCACCCTCACGAGCTTCAGCCCCTTCAGGGTCGCATCACGAGGGCTGAACCAGGGGAAGACGAGGGACTTGGCAGTCCTCAGATAACGCACCCCAAAGCGTTTCAGGGTGGCATCTGTCACCAGGGAGATGCCAAACATGGCCTTAGTCTTGTTAGTCTCATCCTCATCCAGCAGGTCCCAGAGTGGTAGTGCCCGTTCCCAGATGCAGCGGGCATCCTCGCGAGCCCGTCGAGTGTCCTCCTCTGGCTCATCTGAGCTGACGGAGGGAATGCCACGGTGCCGCAGCTCCACGTTGGCTTGGAAGTCCTGCCAGGTGCCCTCAGACAGGGTGGCCGTGCACAGGAAGCTGCCCGTGGTCTTGTCAATGAAAAGCGTGTAAGGGACGCTGGTGGACGGTGATGGTGGCTGGTTCTCCCGACTCTCGGTGAAGAGGCTGGGGGGGGGGAGACAGCTGTACCCGTCGTGGAAGGGTATGCCCTGGGCCCGCAGGTACTGCCGGATCTCGGTGATGGAGACGGAGGGCACGGGCCCCTCGGGGGAGGGCAGCACGTCCTTCTTGTAGCGCCGCTGGGTGAGGCGGCCTGGCACCCCGGGGCTCAGGGAAGCTCCCTTGCTCCTCGCCCCCCCGCATAACA